GGAGTCTGATACTGGTTTAGCTGCACCAAGCCAGTGGGATCTTGTTTCTGATAAGCAAATGATGCAGGAGGAGCAGCCTCTTCAGGTAGTGTATTTGTAAATTTTGTTAATAGTTTTTTGAAGACATTATTTTGGCTGTTAACTCATGTTTTATCTAACAGGTGGCAAGATGTACCAAAATAATAAATCCAAACTCTGAAGATGCAAAATATGTAATCAATGTTAAACAGATTGCGAAGGTAACTATGTTTTTAGCAATTCCTAACCATTTTTACGCATTTATTGTATTGTATTTTTGGTTGTGTGAGGCTTCATTTAGTGTTGGTAAAGATCAATTACTGATAGATTTTTTTTTTTTACTATGCTATGTAAGTGCTTGTATGTTGAGGGGGCTTTATTATTATTTTTTTTTTTTGGGGTCCTCTTGCTAACTTTAGCTTTTGTGAATGATAGTTTGTTGTTGGATTGGGTGACAAAGTTTCCCCCACTGACATAGAGGAAGGAATGCGTGTTGGGTGAGTTCGCTATTGGTGACTGTATGTTGAAATATTCCGAAGAAAGTGACAGAAAAGGCGCTTTTTACTATATTTTATACTTTTTGTATAAACCAAAGTCTGTGATCTTACTGCAGGGTTGATAGAAACAAATATCAGATTCAAATTCCCTTGCCTCCAAAAATTGATCCTAGTGTTACCATGATGACAGTAGAGGAGAAACCAGATGTGACATATAATGATGTTGGTGGTTGTAAGGAGCAGATTGAAAAGATGAGAGAAGTAAGTAGTGGACAAGTTCCCTAATTTTACCTGAATTTACAGTGGAGACAAGTTAAACAGTGTGTTGTACTTACTCCTTTTTTTCTGTTCCCCCTTCTAGGTGGTGGAACTTCCCATGCTTCACCCTGAGAAATTCGTCAAGCTTGGAATTGATCCTCCAAAAGGTGTTCTTTGTTATGGTCCACCAGGAACTGGCAAAACCCTTTTAGCTAGGGCTGTGGCCAATAGGACAGATGCTTGTTTTATAAGAGTTATTGGAAGTGAGCTAGTTCAGAAATATGTTGGTGAGGGTGCTCGGATGGTTCGTGAACTATTTCAGGTCAATGCCTATAATCCCTCCTAGAATGCCTAATAATTGTTTCCACAACATGATATGATCTGACAAGTGTCTTCTCCTTCAGATGGCCCGTTCAAAGAAGGCATGTATTGTATTTTTTGATGAAGTTGATGCAATAGGAGGTGCCAGATTTGATGATGGGGTTGGTGGGGACAATGAGGTTCAGCGAACAATGCTTGAAATTGTGAATCAGCTTGATGGTTTTGATGCTCGAGGGAACATCAAGGTTTTGATGGCAACAAACAGGTCAGTTGATTTGGTAGCCATGTGGAACTTTTATTTTTATGACATTGAATGCTTACAGGTAAAGCGTACATTTGAGCCATTATGGCCATGATGATATTGCACTCAAGAATGTCTTAGTAGTATATGGCACTCTTTAGCTTCAAAAACTTGCACACATTAGAATGTGAAAATTTTTATGACATCTTTTAGCTTTTGTAATTACATGCCCAACATTACTATTTTTCCTTTGCAATTATACCTTTGCATATCAGCAAACTCGATGATTGGTAGCTCATGCTCCTCGCTGCACCTTTAACCTCATGAATAACTAACATGAGAAGCCAATATTCTTGATTGTTTTTTTGCGGTCGAATCAACTCTTAGCTATTGTCTGAGAAACAAAAAGATGGAAAGGTATCGGATGGATTGAAAATTGGCAACATTAAGAGCATGCACTTTGGCTAAATTTATTTCTTCGTTCTTTTTGTTTCCAAACTGAACATACAAGCATAGATTGACGTGGGCTAATTTTTATTTTTTTCTCATTTGTTGTAGTTCATGTTTGCTGTAAAAATGATCCAGTCTTCTTGACTGTTTAAATTCTGAAATATTGCTTCGCTTCTTACAGTCTGCTCCTTCCTTCTCTCATGCCTCTTGGAAAAATGTGGAAGTAACTGACATTGACCCTTTTTGATTTGGCTTATAAATTCTAGGCCGGACACTCTAGATCCAGCACTTCTACGTCCTGGAAGGTTGGATCGGAAAGTTGAATTCGGGCTCCCTGACCTAGAGAGCAGGGCTCAGATATTCAAGATACACACGAGAACTATGAACTGTGAAAGGGACATCAGATTTGAACTTCTTGCTCGGCTTTGTCCAAATTCCACAGGTAGTACAACGCCTTCAAAACTGATATCTCTGCTTTATGCTTTACCTTTCGGCCATTAAATTACTTATGTGTATCAATTTAGTATGACAACCATTATACTTTCTCGGTGAAATTATTTCCCAGTTTAGCTTCCTTATTTCTTGAGCTCCTTGTATGCATATATATTACTCCTCTGGTCCTAAATATAAGACGCACTTTGTAGTGTAAATTACATTACAAGTAGGTCTTATATCAAGATTAGAGGAATACTATTTTACTCAACATTTCAGTTTCCTTAAGTTTTTTCTGTCTCTCTCTCCAGGAGCTGATATAAGGAGTGTATGTACTGAAGCTGGTATGTATGCCATTCGTGCTCGGAGGAAGACTGTGACGGAGAAAGACTTCCTTGATGCAGTAAACAAAGTCATCAAAGGATACCAGAAGTTCAGCGCAACACCAAAGTATATGGTGTACAATTAAATCATCTTTTCCCGACCGATGTTTGGTAAAAGAAATATCAACATTAGCAGCTGGAATTTTTACATGCATTCAAAATTCAAAATTATCTGTTCAAGGCCCAAAAAAAAAAAATCAAAATTATCTAGGCAGTTTATGAAATTCACCTTGCTGAACGTGGACAATGTATTTTGACTTTGTTTAACATATTTGTGCCAAGACTTTTTCCTACCTTAACCGCTTCTCGTGCCTGAAACTATCAGAATAATAAACTAATACTACATCGAGTCCTTAGTGTTCTTGTTTGGTGTTTAATTAAGTTATAAATATAAAATCTTAATCTATTTTGTTTTTCATATTTACTTATTTTTTTTGTAGTAATTGTATATCTTAAAGGTTTTATTAAATAGTAGTCTTAGTTAAAATATATATTAGTAAGAATATTTTAAAAAAAATATATATATTTATCACATGATTAATTTAATTAATTTTTTAATTTATTCAAATTAGTTATCTAGTTTATATTAAGCAGCGAGGGTAGTGACTTGGTTACCTCAACCCCTTTTCCTCCTCTTAAAAACAAAATCATGTTGCTATCTTTATTATTTTGTTACGTTGAGTTTTTTTTTTTCCCGGTTAACTCAAAAGTTTGGGAAAGTTGTTAGGCATGTTTTTAGACTCAGAGTATTTACAGAGATATTTACAGATCATTTACTAATAAGTTTTTCATATTGATAGTGGGATTTGAAGTCATGGCTTTGTGGGTTATAAGTAGTACTGGGAAAAGAAGTTGGTCTGTCACAGTCAAGCCTAAAAAAACTAGCCCATTTAAGCTTGAATCTCAAAAATAGATGAATTTTTTAGGCTGAGTTTTTGACGCGTTTAACTACAAATGTAATTTTTTTTGTTTATTGCATATTTTATTGAAATAATAAAAATAAAAGTAAAATTACTAATAAAAGATATAAATATGAATAAATTAAATAACAAACATAAACGTCATCATATATAAGCATTTAAAACATCCATCACATTACAATAGAATCTATTGAATAGACAAACTGAATGGAAGGTAAACATAAATAACTAAACAAACACTAAGTTCATATTAAACAACTAAATGAGCATTAAGTTCATTTTTTGTTTTGTTTTGTTAGGCTTATTAAGCTCATATTAAACAACTAAACAAGTACTAAATTTACATTAAAAAAATAGAAATTAAAAAAAATATTGGCGGGTTTAAACTAATCAGCCTGTCATCTTATAGGGTTAGTCCGTTTAATTTTAAGCCTTACAGGACTGATCTTTTTAAGCTCAACTTACTTTTGAAAACTCCAAATCATAAACCCAACTCTTGACTTAAACAGACTGGAGGCTCAACCTGTTTTTTTTGCTCTACTTATGAATTGTTTTTTTTTTTTTAACTAACTGAACCAATTCTCGTTATTAAAAATGGGGACAGTAAATAATGATTGGCTTGTACTTTTTAGGTTTTGGGGAATAAGTATGAAGCACTAATAGATAGGTCTCTAATGCATTGACACTTGCACCTTTTCAGAAATATAGGATGAGATGCGTCTATATATGTATCTATGTTATAAAATATTAGTTGGCAATGTGTGTGTGTAACGTATTCATGAATCATATTTTTTCTACCACCCATACTAAAATTAAATAAAACAAAATTTACAAACTAATTTACAACCTAAAATCATGAAAATATTCAATAGTAAAAGATACTCCTATGATCCTTAATATTAAACCTATTTAACTAATTTGATTAGATTAAAAAATTAGGTAAGTTAGTTAATTATAAAAAAGTGACACATTTTTCTTAAAATACTATAATTATCTTTCTTAATACCCCCTCTCTTCCTTTTACTTGATTATGGTTGAAGAAATATCTATAAAAGTAATTTAGATAAAATTAATAAATATAAGAAATAGGTCTTATATAGGACCAAAATCAACTCAAGAATTACATCCTATATTAAGGATCAAAGGAGTACTAGAGAATAAATATAATATTTATTGTGATTAGAGCAAAATTGAGACTAACGATAAAATTTTGCATTCTTGACAATATTTATACACTTTATAAAATATAAAAATAGTATATTAAGTAATTATGCATATTTAATTGCAGAATTACCATTTAAATCTAATGAGCTAGTATTTTTTGTTAAATGAAATTAGTGGTGTAAAGATAAAAAATAAAAAATACATTTCATAAACTTAAAGGGTTAACTTAAAATTTAATTTAAACTTAGAGGAGTAAACGTAGATTTTAGCATTATTAAGATATAAAACCTTTTTTCGGCCGCGGGGCCCGGAGGAATGAAAAGAAAGCGGACCCCATGCTCACCGCCGCTATTTTGGGTTACGATGTTCGGTTAAATACATTGTGCATTACTGCTTAAGATCTAAATCCACATTAGCAGTAATTGTCTAACTGGTTAATCAAAGGGCAATCATTCCGCCGGAGAGTACTGCTAAGGATTATAAATAAATAACAGAAAAATTCCAACCACTTTTCCTACGATGCCGTTTTCTGACACAAGCCATTCTTTCCAATTTACATTTCTTGTGCTTCTGGGTTATCTCCTCGTTGGGATCCTCCGTCCGAGGATCCAAATGTTGTTCGCCTGCTCATGTTTGCACGTTGCACCAATCGGACCAATGCCTGAACCACTTCTGACATCGGTGGTCGGAATTCAGGCTCCGGCTGTCCAAAATTGGGATTAAAAAAAAAAATTCAGAATGCATTAACACATCCAAATCTTTATTGTTCTCAAAGGAACATACTTTAATGGTTGAGAACTAATGACCCCTCTCCAATCTCATGTTCAAGTTTCATTGCAGCAAGAATTCAAATAGATTTTGAAAAAGAAACGTAAAATTTACTCAGACCAGAAAAAATGTGGGACGCAACATCATACTAACCTGAACGCAGAGAGCGATAACATCAGCAAACCTGGAAAGAGACTTAACAGGGTAAAGACCTTCCAGTGCAGGATCAACCATTTTAGTCAGTGCATCAATATCATGAAGTTGTGGAGTTGCCCATCGAACTAGAGACTGCTCCAACCTCGGCCTTGAGCTGTTAGGAAATGTTTTGGAAAAAATCAGAAAAATGACAAGGCTGGCATTTCTTCCTTAATTTTTAAATTAGTCAGATAACATAGGCTCTCAAATATTGAGTAAAGCAGCACTGGCAAATTAAAAACAAAATGCAAATTTTCTATTCCATTTCATGATAAGTGAACAACTGTAGTCTTGTAAAAGAATCTGACATAAAGTTCATATAAAATTATGCACAAGTGTGTACTCACATCAATTATGTTGCTTCATAGTCATAAAAAAATGCACGTGTGGCCTCCTTTATTACCCAAAATAAAAATTTAAAAAAAAAAAAAACACTTGTGTGCCACATGCAAGTGATCATGTGTAGAAATCTAGTCCGGTATGTGTATCCATTATTTACCTATCAAATGGTTTCCGTCCACTAAGGAGCTCCAACATGACAACTCCAAAGCTGTAGACATCACTCTTCAGAGTATACTGACCAGACAGGCCAACTTCAGGTGCCTCATATCCCGATCCAGCATTATGGTTTAATACCTGAACATGAAACACATTAGAAGACTTACAGAAATTTTAATGTTCTGACTGATGTCCCTTTGTCACAGGAAAAGAAGCACTTTTCAGGAGCATTATTAATAACTCATCCATCCAATGGGATCAGTCGGCATGCAAGTTTTTCTCATTTCTTTTTTGGGTAAATCGCACAGCACCTGGTGGTATTGTACCAATACTTGCATAGCTTACTTCTATTAAGAGATTCTTTCAAAAAAAATTAATCCTCAATTCCTTTGATCCCCAGTCAACTAGGACAATTAAAGAAGAACTAACAGTGAAATTGAAAACAGAAAAGTCTGGAAGAATGGAGAAAAATAGCCATGGCAAGAGCCTAGATCTATTTTGGCCACAAAAAAGGAGCCTGGATCTATCACAACTGAAAGAAACTTTTCACATATTTTAATAATAAAACCATTCATTTGGTTCGTAAAGCCCCAAAATCACCTGGTCGGCATTTGGAATATAGCTTGCCAATCCACTGTCAGAAAGATGAGGATTAAGCTCCGTATCAAGCAATATGTTGGTTGATTTAACATTTTTATGAACAACTGATGGTGAACAAACTTCATGCAGGTACCTGGAATAAAATTTTCAGCATGCAAAGTCAGTTTGTTTCAAGTCTCATTGCAAGCATTTTGATCATTTCCTGATGCTCAGTCCATGTTACCAAAAATTTAGCAACAAAACCAGTGGAAATTTTTTACTGCAAGCGAATGCCTTAATCCATTGGCATGTTCCTTTCCCTTCCTGTATGATAATTATGTAGACTTTTGCATTTACAGTGGACCAAAATAGAGCATGTTTCATTCTTTCAAAGTAATTCTTCCCTGTTCCAACATTTCCAGTCTTAAGTTCAAATATTGTAATTATACACCATCTTAGAAGAAGGGATGAAGAGTGATTTAAAACACGATATAAAACACAAAATAGAGAAATACTGAATCGAACCAATTTAGCTATATGGGTCAGCAAGTAACTTAGGCAAATTTTATGAAGACAGATTTATAGGAAAACTTTTTTTTTTTTTTCCCCTTTTGCCTGAAGATTTATAGGAAGACAATTTACCGCATAACGTGCCAGGATACCAGTCAATGATACATGCTTACATGCAAGTTAAGCAGGAAGCTAGGCATATTATATAACGCAGATAGAGAACTAGGAGAGAAATGAATTAGGAAGTTAAGGTTAAGAAGTGTCATGCAATGATGCACAATTTCCTCAGAAATGTTATAGCAGGATCTTCTAATCCCATATCCTATCATCAAGTAGCAACTTACTCCAAAGCACGTGCAGTTCCCAAAGCAATCTTGACACGGGAGTTCCATATTAATGGTTTGATATGTTCATCTGGCAAGTGAAGGAAGTCATGCAATGATCCACTTTTATGAAACTCATAGACCAGAAGATGTTGTCCATGCTCTGAACAATAACCAATGAGCTCTGTTACATTGGGATGGTGCAGCTGGGAGATATTTGAAACGACTTCAATAAAATCTTCAGACATATCATTAGGAAGGACAGATGAATCTATCTTCTTCACGGCAAGAACCTACCAATCCCAAAAAATAAAAGAAAATAATTAAATCCATTAATAACTTTTATTTATGACAACGGTAAATGTGACTGTATACTATTACGGAAAATAATGACCTGTGTGGCACTGAACTGTGGCATAAGGGTACCATATCTGAGGTGCTGAAATTTAAAATGGAATTGCGAGAGAACAACAGGTGAGAAATACCTCTCCACCATCAAATTGAGCACGGTAAACACGCCCAAAAGATCCCTCACCAAGAAGGTGATCCATACTGAAGCTGCCAGTAGCAATCTGTAGATCTGCTACAGAATATAATGTTACATTTGCAGGAGCTGTTACAGTTTTCTTTACAATATCGGGCTTCTTTGAAAATTCATCTTCATCAAATGATTTGTGACGATCAATAGGTGGAGGTTTGAGATTGAATGAGGCAGAAGGAACAAAAGTCTTTGTGTCAGGTATAGAGGATGTTTGCACTGACTTCAATTCTGTATTACAGAAGATATATCAACTTCTGATGACCAAGTAACAAAATCAGCATAACTAAATCATCAATGTTAACTGCAAGCATCAATTTGGCAAAAACCATATTAGTTATGAGCCAGATATGGGCAAGTGATCCTAAACATCGTGAAAACTGAAGAAAACTAATTAGAAGGGGGAAAATCATAGAAAATTCTCCTTCAGTTTAATTGCTATATGATATCTGCACGGCATCAGGATCATATCCTCCCCTCGAAAGAAGAGTTGAGCTAATTGCTATTATCTTCTATTATAGAGCAAATTGTGCACCAAAATGACAGATAAGAAAGCAAAACTGAATACGAGGAGAATGGAGAGTATAATAATAACAGATGATCAAGGAATATGATCATTAAAGAAGCATAAAAATAATGACAGCCTGTAAATTGATAAGAATGAGAACATGCAAAACGCTGACGGTCAATAAATACGTTACCATGCACTTCATTTGATGCAAGAGGAGCAAAAGGCTGATTGTCAACATTTTCTATATCTGCAGATGGCTTCCTGGATCTCCTCTTCATCAGAAAGAATGCTACTATTGCTCCAACAATTAAAATGGAGATCACTATTCCTGCAATGCCACCACCTCCTATACCAGATTTTTTATCGTTGTCACTGGTATCAGCATTTGATGGGGTGTTTCTTCCACTGCCCCCACCAGTTTTGTGAGTCCGTGTGCTGCTAGTCGCAGGAGGTGTCCCAGGTGGGGGTGGGGGTGCAGGGCCTGAGCTCCATGCATTGCCATCCTTCCTGTCATTCAGTTTAATCAATTATAAAATACTGCAAGATTTACTAAAAAAGAAACATATTTTTATTTAGAAAACCTCTGATAATAGCAATGCTTACTGTAGGTTTATGTTTTTCAATTGATCTGGTATCCAACCTGTAAAATGATTGTTTTGCACATTCCTGAGAGCATATAAGAAAGTAAGTGTATCTGTTTTCAAGGAATTTCAATTAGATCAGGAAAGGACATTCCATCTACGTTATCTAAAACAAAAGAGACATACAGATTTTGAAGAGGCAGACCAGCAAGGATATCAATGGTGCCTGTAAACTGGTTATTTTGCAAATACCTGTACAAAAGCGAACAGGACAGACCGAAATGCTATGAACACCATGTAAATTATCAATGTAAAACATAAACAATTTTAGACATTTACATGGTGGTGATGCTTGAAAGTGAGGTGCAACTCTGAGGAAGGTCACCTGACAGAGAATTGAAAGAGAGATCCCTGCCAGAAGAGAATTTATTGTCACTATTCACTTGTTCCTCAAATGTCACCAAAACTTTAGAGTTTTCACCGGGTAATGTTCACATCATACAGCCCAAGACAATATCTTATATGTAACAAAAAAGTAGCAACCATCCAGACGCATTTTACATAGTCGAAGGGCAGGAAGAAATCTCACAATGTGGAGAGTGAAGAAAGCTTTTGAAAGTTGACACTCAGTGCGCCCTGGAGTTGATTGTGACCAAGATTTCTACATTTTCCGGGAAAAAAATTTAAGAAAATCAGTTGCTGGCAAAAGGGATCAATAAGGAACAATCATGATAAATTGAGAAAAACACATACAGGTATGTAAGAGAAGTCATATCAGAAATAGAATAAGCTACTTCCCCAGTGAAGTTGTTGTTAGCAAGGTTTCTGGAAGTGAAGAAATATGATGTTAAAGTCACATTATCAGAATGGAAATAAAAGATAGTAGTAACCACTTGCATATAGAAACATACAATCGCTGCACATTTGGAGGAAGTTGATATGGTATGGTGCCTCCAAGATTATTATTACTCATGTCCCTGTAAAATTTAGATGGTCACGAGCAGCATAACATTGCATCAACAATTGAACACTAGATACACGAGACCATTATTCTTACAGGTTGATCACAGATGTCAAGGTTTGTAACTGGTAGCCTAGTGTTCCCGTTAGTCCAAGGCCAGGTAACTTGCTGATAAGAAGTAACAAAGACTAATCATAAAAAATCAGTGTGAACAAAAAGTTGTCATGTGATGTGAAGGCAATGAGAGAGTGAAACTTTACATCTCTGTGACTCGGTTGCCTGAGCAACTAATGCCCTTCCAGTGCTGTCCACATGCATCATCACCACTTGCAGGCCAACCTAGCTGGGATGGTGAATTCATGCTGCCAAACATTACCCTTAGAGCAGCAGCTGCATCAGACATTCAGATACACCAAGTTAGCAAACCTAAAATATGTACAAGAGAAATTCAAACCCTAGATTTTTAATGTTGGTGCTTATTTGTCCCCCGTGTCTACTTCACTCTTAACAAAATAAACCTAATATGATAACATCATCCAGCAAAATATTAATAAGCATGAATGAGCTAATGAATGCCAAATTATCTGAGTTAGAAATGAGAAAATTTTCACAAAATCGAAGATTATTCTGTATTGGTCCCTCTGGGGAAAACATAGAACTCAGAAGTATTAGACTTTGGGTGCGAATCTTTCTTATAGATCTCTGTTTTTCCTTTATTATTTTTTTAAGCATTTGTCAACATATCATCAATTCGAACGCGAAACAAGAAGCACCGAAAATATTGAGTTCACTGGATAATAACTCCTATAAGATGAAAGGCAGCTACAGGCCATGGCGCACGGATGATAACAAGCACGAAGATTGAAGAATGAATTAGTTCTTGTGTCGTAACACCCAACGCCTAGAAATTGTTTTTCACCTACGGATTAGTACAACATTTCGAGGCCCACTCATCAGGCGAGGCAACTACAATTCAACTTCACTGAATAGGCACAGAAAAGTAAGCACACTTTAGCAGGAAATTACGTTACCAAAAACTTAGATATAGATTTACGTTATGCACTGAATGAGTTTTTCTAATGAAAGGGATGTTAGTGAAGAATCCAAAGAAACATGACTTGACATTATGATATAACACGCAGAGCATACAATTTAAAGATAATATAATCCCTTTAATTGTTGAAATCATTTGCATGGAGAGCAAGAGGCCACCGAACGCTTTGAAAGCCAGCAATCTAAATGAATAACGACCGTCCAAACAGTGAGTGTGATGATAGAAGTAAGGTGTGACACTCAACAGATCAGCTAGAATCAGTAGTGACTGACTCAGAAACCGAAACTCATGACAACCAAGAAAAGCAGGCAAAATGGAAGAGTTAAAGAAGAATCACTAGTGACAAATTTCACCGCAATGATACATCGAGTTACAAGGAACTCAGGAACTCATGAAAGGAGTGAACTAGCGAGTAAAGCCACTGAAGATACTAACCATCACTTGGATCCGTGTCGCCATTGATGGCAATGGGGATTAAACCCAGAACACAGATGCTGATGAACAGCACTACCAGCCTTCCATCCTCCAACATCTCTCTCTTTCTCTCACTTTCTCTCTGAATCAGTCTGTACCCACAAAACTTTCTAACCCAGAAAGCCAAAAGGGAAGGGCATGAAGCCCTTTTAGCCAATTCTTAAACTTTCCCACTGAATGAGGTTATGGGTTTATGGTTAGACATATAGCCATGGCCATGAAAAGCTGGAAAGCACGAATTGCCAGAAGAATCCAAAGCCACAGAAGTTTTACTTACTTTACTGCCACAGTATCAGTATATACTACCATATACGATACATATACATTTATTTTCTAATAATTAAGGGGAAAAATTATAGACATTGGTTAGTGTGACCACTGCATCCCTGTTATCTTTTACGTTTTGGACTTTCTTCCCTCCTGTAGCTTTCACGGGCATGAATGAATGACACGTGAGTTTTATCTCAAGATTATATACCGTGGGATAGATTCCATAACCATCTTCGTGGTTTTCTTCCTGGTCAAACGAGCTAAATAGCCCACGCGTTTTTTTGGCAAACTAAAAAAAGAAAGTATAGTAATTTATTACTTATTTGTTCCTTTTAAGAAAAACATGACTGAGGATCACGAAAACAAACTTTGAAATGGTATGCCTAGTGCCTTCTTCTTACTTTTATTTTATTGGCTACTCTTTTTAGATTTTTTGTGCCTAAAACCAAATAGACATTATTAATTAATCTAGTCTGTAATACTGTTGGATTCTTTCATTACTAACTCAATCTAGTCTGTATTTATTGGGTTAAACTTGATCGCATGAGCTTATAATAAAATTTCTAAATTTATTTAGCCAGCATTAAATCATACCTTCCTCCTAATTATAAGGCAAAGTTTTTAGACCTTGTTTAGTCTTAAATATAAAGTAAAAACGTGGTAGTTAAATTTCTTTTTTGTTTTGTTTTAAATATTATCCCTCCTTACTTGCACAAAATTGTTGTTAGTTAACTTTAGTAAAAGACAAAATTATAAATGATCACTTTTTAAAATTGAAAAAATAATTAACTTTGTCTTATAATTAGACCACATATACGGTAAAAGCATTGAAATCTAGCAACTTAGATTCTCTGCATTTTTTATGCATTGATCAGGATAAAAATGAAAAATTAAAATGCGAAAAACTCACCAAGTTACTTGTTAATCGTTTTAAGTTTTTTTGGCCAACTTTATTCATCCTTAAATTTAGATCGAATATTATTAAAAAGCTCTTTATATTTGTGTATATATATTGACCGAACCTCATATTTACGGTGGAAATTAAAATAAAAAAGTTTTAAAAGAAGGATCGCCACACCAAACCACATAGTAGGGTTCATTTGAAGTCACTGGGGGCAATGGACAAAAAAGATCAAATACATTGGAGGTTGGTATGAATGCAAAAACTTTTCTTATCCTTCTTTAAGAATGGGGAATAATTGAAGCTTCACTTTTGTGTAAATTATGAAATTATGAATATTAATAATAATGGCGAAATTATATTTTAAAAAATGATGGGGGCCACATCACCTACCTCTAAATCCCACTTGCCTTTCCAAAATATGCCTTTTGCAGAATTGCAGTGTCGGTCGCCTTGCTTTTGTCGTTTTTCTGTTTATTTATTTATTCATTTTATAAGGAAAAATCTTTAAAAAATAACTGTTGAATTTTAAAATTTTAAATTAAGAATTATTATAAAAATACGTTGTCATTTGTTTTTTAAATATAGTCATTTATTTTGAGTGTAACAATTAATACTGATTTAAAATTTTAAAATTCTACATATTTTTTTAGAATTTTTTCCCAAAAAAAAAAAACTCGTGCTTACTGGAATTTCCGTCAGTGAACTTGGCAGTGTGGAGAAGCAGAGTGACAGAATTTAACAATCCTCCTCCAATCATATATATACTCCTCCGGTCTTTAATATAAAACCCATTTAACTAATTTGATTAGATTAAGGAAGTTAGGTAAGTTAGTTAATTATAAGAAAAATGACACATTTTTTCTAAAACACCATAATTATCTTTCTTAATACCCATTCTTCCTCTTCTATTTGATTATAGTTGATGAAGTATCCGTAGGGGTAATTTAGAGAAAACTGATAAATATGATAAATGGATCTTATATTTAGGACCAAAACCAATTCAAGAATTAGGTCCTATATTAAGTACCGGAGAAGTACTTAACTAAATAAGCATGCCATGAAGCCCAAAAAAAAAAAAAGCTCACTGCTCACTCTGTTATGATTTATTAATGAAAATTACAAGAATCTTATTAGTCCCCAATGGCATAGAAAGATGAGCAGAGGCTTGTCTCTATAGAAGAGGAAGAAGAAGATCCCTTTGTGGTCTTCGGTACCGTGAAATCAATTCTCTTTGATTAGGAATAATGAAATGAAATACCAAAACTCGCCACACAAACTGAAAATTTTGGTTCCTGATTAAGCTTGGAGTTGTTGTGCTGGCTTTCACACTGTGTGCGCTGATTGAAGAACACTCCGGTCCAAGTTCTTGAGTCTCAAAACAGACTCTACATGTCCTCTCAAAGTGTGTAATTCTCCCAGCCTGCTCAGTTTCACACCATTTTTGTTCAGAATTCGCATTGTTTATGAATATTGAATCAAGCAATGCAAATTGAGGGAAGACAGATCTATTTTAGCTCTTGAAAGTTGATATCTTTCTCTGTTAGAACCTGGAAGAGAAAATGTTGGGGGAGAAAAGAAAAGGTACCTGGCGATTTCAGCACGTCTCCTGGCTTGTTCAGCAATCAAAGAAGATCGCCTTCCGATTCCATTATTCACTTCTAAGCCTACGCTCAATACTCCTTGTAAGCTTCTCTGAGAAACAATCCATTGTGCAGCCCTGTCTTCTTTCCCATAGTCTTTCTTAGAACTAAAAGCAGTCTGTTTATAGACAAATTAGGGTTTGTTTAGTCCATTGAACCTGAAACTGAATAGCTCAAACAAAAGATACATTATTATTGTCAGGTACTAACCTTTCTGTCAAATACCAGATTCCAGGCTTGGCCACTCAAAATGTAGCGAATTGTGAACTTGATAATGTCCAAAGGTATATAAAAGATCAAACTGTATAACCATATAACACCAGCCCATCCCCATCCAATGCCTGTAATTTTAGCAAAGCTGATATGTGCATACACAGCTATTAAGGTGGCCACCTGGTTAACATCAAAATGAAACCTATCATAGATAACTAGAGTTTTTCTTGATTTTCTAATCAAATTAATGATTTTTTTTTTTTTTTGGGGGGGGGGTGTTTTCTTTTGTGTTGAAAATATTTGTAGGTCCAATACTGAAGGTTAGACATATGCATTACTGGAAAACTCAGCACTTTCAAATTCCTTGGAGTAGGTTTAAATATTTGCGTGAGTGAGATTACCAGTTGAGCTACAACAAAGGCACACATCAAGAGGCCTCCAGGTCTCTCTAGATATGACCATCCTTGACTTCGTGTTACAAAAATCAAAGCCTGGCTGATGATACTGACTTGAAGATATACAGCAGATGAAACTTTCTCACTGTCACTGGATATAGAGGCTACATGGAAGCGTGTCTGCAGGAGGGGGAAAAAAGATTACTTGGTCTAAACTATGAATCTTTTGGCTTGGCATGATAGCAGCACAATGATGGCTAGCAAAGAAAAGAAACACAAAAGTATTACCTCAAAGAAAGTGGTGTGCACTACGGCCCAGTAGAAAAGAACAGTAATCAAGGCAAGGTAAGTCCCAATAACCACTCCAGTTGCAAATATCTCTGGCAGCTTCCAACTGTCAGAGTCGGTGATGGCTTTACGCGATCTTTGGATATGGTCATAATAGTCCCTAAATGCAGACACTTCTTTGAGTACAAACCTTACATGTAAATGATTTTCTTTGTTCTGATTGTTCAGTTTTTTTGTTTCTCTCTCTGATTTTGAGAAAAATTAGCGCTTTGAATTATGACTATTCAAAGTCGGGGATCATAAAAAACAGATCTTATGAAACAGTTCTGCATTTTCTTCTATATTATCCAGATGGAAAGAATGGATGGACAAATATTTAATTTTAATAATACTAAAGATAAAGATGATATATACAACTTACGGCTGACATTAGTAAACATTTGAGTTGTTAATGCTTGAAAGTAGAAATTTGCTCATAATGAGCTATCGTATAGTGGAAATGCTGTGAAAACAAGGAAAATCTGGTTTGTCATTTTCAGTTTCCATATGGCCTTTCTTTATCCTTTTTTTTTTTTCCGGTGAAGATATGCTCTTTCTCTATCTTGCCAATTACTATTTCTGCTTGAAAGGGAGGGGGGGGGGGACTGCAGGTATACGTTATGAACCCTTACCATCATTCAGTATGGCGATGATCAGGACCATGAAAGGTGGAAAATCATACTCCCAAATCAATGCCAGAAGCATAAAACCAAGCTGTAAGAAACATAATGTATGAATTTCCAACAAAAACCCACGTTGGATAGAAGTTCAAGGAAATGACACTAATATAGAGGCGATGAAACTTATCTTACCACTATCCGAATGGTTATGGAGACTGCATATATCTGCATTTAAATGAGCCGTCAGTGTTACATCGAGTCAGAACAAAAGCTAGCCAAAAAAACAAAAAAAATCAAATCGGTTGCATGCTTTCCAGCTTGATGTATATATAATATATATAGAAGCAGTATGGTACAGTTGATCCGCGAGATATAAAGCAGAAGAGGAAGATGGACACTTAA